ATAAATTTCATCCCACAAACTTCGCACCCCTGTTGGCACACAGTAAACCAAAATTGTAACTAACAATCTCCTTAAAGCTGATGGCATGTGCATGGTTGCAGCTTCTAACAAACATTGTCGTATGCTATCATCATGCTCTAACAAACCATGATGTTCAGCTGCTTGTTTAAAAGTTGGGTACGCAATTCCATTAACCATTAACAAATGATCGAATGACTTTGGTCCTCGGATATGATTGAGTAAAATTCTCAAGTAAAATCTTTCCCCTTCTGATGGCGAAACTGTGTAAATTCTACCAATTACTCTTTGATGGTTCAATCTCAACTGCCAAATCTTTGCGCTATTGCACCATCTATAGTGTTGCGGTATCTCTCGATATAAGTATCGATTTGCAGTTTCATCATCAACATTTAATTGAAAGAATTGGGTAAGCATTGTTCTGGAATAATACTCATCGCCTAAAACATTTGTGATGTCTTGGAACGTATAAAACCTCACTTGCTGCTTATTTGGTAAGTGTATTTGGAGGCGTTCTACGCTAGGAGTCATTTTGGTCATTGGGAATTTGAATATTTTCCACAATGCTTCTGGAGCACAAACCCATCTTCCATCTATGAACTGTTGTACTTCGTCATAATTAGGACCTTGACGAACCTCTAGTGCAACACGGTCAGGCCCTTTATAAACATATTTGTATAAATACTTCATACTTGTAACACTACTGCAAATTTCAAGATTGATATGACAATCATATTTCAAGAGCAACCATGGGTTGTATGGAATGACCCAACTATTATCCACCAAGACGCTTGGATTACTCTCTACAGGAGCCTTTAATGGAATGCGATGTAGGAAAACTCTCGTGCCTTTGAAATGTCCTGTTAAAATCTCTGAATCTATGAAATTATCGTTCAAAGCTCGACATAGTAGCCTTGTGCCATTGCACAAACCAGAAGAAGGGTTAAGATTCCTCAAAAGTATAATTGGGGCTCCAACTTTCAAATGCAATGCATGTGGGGGCATTCCTCCTGGCAAAATGGAATTTAAAAACTCTTGTTTATACAAATTTTGGGTATCATTTTCATCTTTATCAAATGGGTGATACACTCTTGATTCTCCCGAAAATCTCTGAATGATTTTCTCATTGAGCTTGTCGACATCTTCATTGCGAGGAGTTATTATGCCCTACTAACCATATACTCGGTGTCAGAAGAATGGTTTTTGATATTAGGATAAATTTCTTCTAATAGTCGAACTATTGATTCTTCACCATTCCATGGTATTGCCATCGATGTTGGTATTTTGATCATTTCATCTATAATGGTAGGTTGCACACCATCTCCAACGAATAAAAGAAATTCACCAAACCGTTGGTCATTTATAGAGCGCATGTTTTGCTTTAAACGAATTATTTGAATGTGACTCCAGAGAGGTGATTTGACTATCGATGCAGTAATAGTTTCAGCTTTTGTACCTTTAGGAACAACTGGAAGTACTTGTCGAAAATCACCACCAAACACCATAATTTTGCCACCAAATGGATAATCAACACCAGTGATGTCTATGAGTGTTTGATTCAAAGCTTCAAAAGCATAACGATTTGTCATTGTAGCTTCATCCCAAATGATGACTGTTGCACATCTAATCAGTTTTGCCATATCTGATTGTTTAGTAATGGAACACACGGACGAAGCCTCTAGATTTAATGGGATCTTGAATCTTGAATGGGCTGTCCTTCCACCAGGTAAAAGTGTAGCTGCAATTCCAGAAGTTGCTGTTGCAATGGCAATTCGACCTTGACTTCTGTAGACACCCCATTTTTGACCGTCCTCAAGACTTGGACGTCACCGTTTGAACACTCGGTGATTATCCATGTCTGTGTTCGTTTGGAGTTCCCGGAGGTCTCGGCTATGCGCCTTGCCTCAGAATCTCCGAACTCGACTGTTTAGTGTCTAGTTTTGAACCAAACACTTGTGTTTTGCCTTGGAAGGGCAGGGAATGCCTTGTGAGGCATCCCCACACATCACCGGCCACTGCTAGAGGCCATCGGCTAGAATTTTTTTGCCATCGGCAATGTTTATTGCCGGTCGACATTCTTGGTTGCCGGTCGGCACTCTATTTTGTCAAAATAACAATTTTGAGAAGGCGACTACTGTGCATCAACTTTATGTAGATATTTTGTGCCAGCTGTGATAGCTGGCACCAACTCTACTTCCCTCCATACACGTGTATGGAGGGATTTCCCTCTAAAGAAGCTTGTTTAGAAAGCTTTGCAAAGGAGGACTTCTATAAGAGGAGAGCTCTTCTCCTTGTTCTAGGTGAGAGATTTTAGAGATAAAAAACACAGAGGAGAGCTCTGGTTTTAGGGTTAGGGTTTGATACACATTCTCTCTCCCTTTTTCTCTCTTGTGTGTGTCTAGGTGCATTTGTGTCTTACTATTGCACACAAACACCTACCAATACACCTTCCCTCGGCTATTGAAGTTCTAAGGGGTTGCTTTCAGAGTTTTGGGGCTGGTTTAAGCTCAAGGAACCAGCTGGTCCACCATTGTTGAAGAGGGTCTTCAAGGGTAAGAAACTTACCTTTATATTCTCCATTTTTGCATTGTATTTTTACCTATCTTAGAACTTTTTTTGTGCTTAGTGTATAACATAAAAAGTTCTATTTTTAGGCTCTCTAAATTGTTTGTTTAGAGTGTTTTGTGGTTTGGAGGTGTTTGACCCCTCTTAGGCCTTGAGAGGCCCCATTTTGAGCCATTTTGAGTGAGCTCCGGGACTTTGGTGTTTGGGCCTCCTCACCACTGAAATCTTGAGGGATTTCAGTGGTAAGGATGGTGCCTTGAAGTCCCAAGAAGGAGAGGGCCACCCCCTCTCCTTGTTATCCTTGAAAAGGACCATTTTTGGCCTCTTGAGGGAGCACCTAGCTAAGCTTCATGTTGACCATGCCTTGGCTGTTTTTTGTGCCTAATATATCATAATATGCATCTATTTTCTGTTGGTTTTGGTACACCATGCATGCTTAGCATACCTACCTTGTAATGCCATGTTTAGGCCTTAACATGCCTTAGGTTGTAAACCGTAATTCTAGCATGTTTTAGGCTTAGTCTTGTGAAGCTCTTGTGCTTATTTTGGCATGTATGAGGTCTGTCCATAGTTGTTTGGGTTGGCTTTGCCATGCATTATATGCCCCCTTTGCATTTTGGCTTGTTGGCCTTAAGTATGTGAGTGTGTAGCATGCACTACTTGCTTTATTCTAATGATTTGGCATCGTTTGTAGCATAATTTCAGTCCCTTTGACATGCTTGTATGCTTGCTTTGGACACCTCTTTGATGCTTTGGAAGCTTGTCTTGCATGCTCCATGTTTTGGTCATTGTGCATGCATTTGATTTTGAGCCATTTAGATGCCATCTAAGTGTCCCTTGGGTGTTGTTTAGGTCTGCACTAGACCTATTTTAAGTCCTCTTAGCCTTGTAAGGCTTGGTTGATTTAGTCTTGGTTTAAGCCTCATGGCTTGCCTTGGGTTTTTGGCTTTGTTTGCATGCCTTATTTGTCTTGTTTAATTGGCTTAACACCCTTTGTAACATGATTTTCAATGCTTACCTTGCATGCCATTAGTCCATGTTATGCCTCTTTCAAGTGTGCTTGAGAGTTGCCCTTTTAATGCTTAAGTGTTGGCCCTTGTGTGCATGCATGTTTGCATGCCATTTAGCCCTCATTTCGTAGCACTATGGCCACTGTTTTGGGCCTATTTAGAGCTGCCCAAATCATGTTTAAGTCCATCTCTTTGTTTGCCGCATGCTCTCCTTGTATATTGTAGTATATTGGCGAGTTGTCGCATGTTTGAAATCACATGATTGAATGAAGTCACATGTTCGCTTACGTGCTTGAATGCCTACATTAGCCTTGCACACTTGTTAGTTGCATTGCTCTATGCCTTGCACTTCTTGCATGCTCATTTGCATTGTCGTATTGCATGCCTAGTTGCCATGCTTAGGTTGCATTGCATTGGCATGCATGCTTGGCCTCTTGACTATCCATGATAGAGGTTAAGTTCCCATTTGTTTGTTGGTTTGCATTGCATGTCATTTGACATCAAAGTGTGCAAACTTGGTCCCTTGGGCCATCACGCATTGAAATGCGCGATTGATGGTCCGAGAACCAAGGAGCATGTCCCTTTGAGTCACTAACGTGATAAGGGACATGATTGGTGCATACATAGTTTGAATTGTATTGCCATGCTCTGCCTTGCCCTCTGTTGCTGTCAATTGCAGGTTCCGCAGGAACTCTCTGCCGACCGGCAGTGTCCAGTGCCGACCGACAATCATACCTCTGTCGATGGCTTCACAAATGGCCGGTGGCCACATAACATTGCCGGTGGTGATCCTACTCAGCCGGTGATGTCTCCCACTGTCTAGGGAAACAATCCTGGGACTTTTGCAGTCTCCAGAGGAGTATATCAAGGAAAACAGAGGCAGCTTAGGCATGGCAGTGCACTTCTGAGCGGGACCGAGCATGCATTGCATCGAGCTCCCTTCCCGAGGCAGTTTATCTGTTTTCTCTAGATTAGTTAATTTGCTTGGCTAATTAGATGGTCTGTAATATTTGATTAGCTTGTAGGTTAATTATTTGTAATATTCTTTTGGTCCCTCCGAGCGAGGGCAAATCTGTAATAATTGTGGGTGCGTGTGTGTGCATGTCTTCCAATCCCCACTTCTTTCTTCCCTTTTACTTACCTGCTTTGATGGGTAGTAATAGGTCATGTTTAAATCAGCATACCTTATGCTATGCATGCGTGCATCCATGCATTTGTATTGCTTGCACCGGGCTTGGTACATCATTCTAACTGCATTTGTACTTCAATTCCAAACTGAATACGTGCATCAAATTGACTGCATCTCACATGCCATGCTTTGGTTAGCCGAGCCTACTCTAACTGCATCCTGTATGTGTTGCATTAGTCAATTTGACATAAACTAGGACCATGCATATTGGCTAACTAGTTTATTGTTTTGGCACGGAGTACGATGTAAGTATTTTCATGCTTTAGCATACCGCATGCGTGTGAATGCTATCATAACGGCATGCTTACCATGTGGCTAGATGTTTATGTGATAAATTGTTTGATTGCCTATGGGTGAAGGTTGGATTGCCTGAGTTGGAAAAACTTGTTGAAGTCCGTGTTTTAGCCTACTTGCGAGTAGCAAATTCCAAAATGTTTTTCAAGACAAACGGATATGCAATGCTTATTTCCAAATTAGGCAATCTAGTCTATACTTGTGTGCTGTGCGCATAACATAGTAATTCTAGGCGATTAAACGGAATAAGAACACATAACGTTTTCAAAAACGGATATCACGGTTAGTAGAGGCCGATCTTCGGATCGGGCGAAAGGGGGTGCTCATAGCTGACCTTCCCCGATCATACCCTAGCTCCCTAGCAAAAGCAACTTTGGTAATGACAGACGTGTGGCCTTCGGCACCGAGTTAGGGTTTCCTAAATTCTCCCATTTTAAAAATATTTAGGTGGCGACTTCGTATCTGGCAAAGCAGTCCATGTATGACACTTCTTTTCTAAAAATCTGTTTTCTGAAAACGATTTGCCGGATTTGGACTCTTTGGTTCAGATAAAGAACCGTGACACAAATCGAGTCCGAACTACAGCGAAGGCCCCACGTGGGCGCGCCTACAGTTTCTGGCGACTCTGCTGGGGACCTTAGAGAGCTTGACTCGAACTTGTGATATCCGGTTTTGACTTCATTTATGTGTCTCTTTGCATTGCATGTGCATCGGTGCGCCTGGGACGCCGTGTTTGCCATCTGCAATTCCTGAACGGTTTGCTGGAGGCTTGTCTTGTCAAGGCATGACCATAAGCCTGACCGGTTATGGGCTCTGACAGTGTGGGAACACAAACCCCGGTTTTACCAGGGCACCCTCTTTGACCATTCGACCTAGTGCATATTCGGATCCATAGTGACCATTCCAAGCTCGGACAGGTTGCTTACCCGTTTATAGGTTGTTTGAAACCGCTGTGTGCGTAGTGAAACCCTAGTTCCTGACAAAATAGGACAGGGAAACCCTACCCCAACATAGGGGTGTTTTGGCTCTCTTTAGTTGCCGATGTGCTTTTAGGGTGTATCTCTACAGGAACGTACATATCGGTTTGCAGGATTGAGTATCAGGCCCGAGGGCACCAGTATCAGTGTTGTTGAGAATCAGTTATCTGCAGGTATCAGGTTCAGTTTTGGGGACAGTGATTCTGGGGAACAGTGATCAGTAATAGGGTACAATTGTTCGGCTACACCTGTATTTGATCCGTTTGGGCTGAAATGCAGCTTGTTTTCCCTTTCAGTTCAGAAAGTTCAGAGAGTTGATACAGAATAGCCAGTGTTCCCCCTTGCTGAGGCAGGACTTATGATGACACAGAATTCAGAAGAGACTGTGGTTATGACAACGGCATTAGATCAAGGGATCACTCAGCAAAGTGAGGCCAACATTGACATGTCACATCCACCCAGGTCACCTGTTGCGCACCCGGTCTGGGCCCCCCAGCTATACCAGGCTCGCGACCCTACTACATTTGAACTAATGAGGATGATAGGTGATCTCCAGAGGTCTGTGGTGGATCTCGCCTACGGAATGTCAGCTTCACCTCCAGCCG